TCCCACTCTTGACCTAACAATCAACATCGGCACCTCTATTGTTTCCCCGACTCAGACTGCAAGGAATCTAGGTGTGACCCTAGATAACAAACTGTCCTTCACTGCAAATATAGCTGCTACAACCCGCTGCTGCAGATACACTCTTTACAACATCAGGAGAATACGTCCCCAGCTGACCCAGAAAGCGACGCAGGTTCTAGTCCAGGCTTTCGTCATCTCACGCCTAGACTACTGCAACTCCCTCCTGGCTGGTCTACCTGCATGTGCCATCCGACCTCTGCAGCTCATCCAGAATGCAGCGGCTCGTCTGGTCTTCAACCTTCCTAAATTCTCCCACACCACGCCGCTCCTCCGCTCCCTTCACTGGCTTCCGGTAACTGCTCTGCTCAAATATCAAAAATATTCAGCTTTTTCAGCACATGATGGGAAACCTTCAACTTTATTGACGTTATACTTTTCAAAATATTCAGCTTTTTAAACTCTTTTTTTAACATGTAACTCAATGGGAGGATCCTTCAAATCCTCTTTTAGCTACACCGTGCGCCAAATGCTACTCCTTCCACATACTTTCAGCCACAGACTTCATTCCAACTTTAAAACGATCACAAGACATTCAGCTATTAAACTTGTATTCATTTTCGATATTTTGTACACTTTTTGAGATATTTAACTTAGTTTGGAGCTTGGTAAAGAAGCCTTCTTCAGAGTTTAACATTAGTGTGTATTCGAGGGTGAAGGCCGCGGCGGGGAAAACTCAGGGGGACGGAGACAAGGGCAAAGGCCGCGGCTGGGGAACTCAGGGGGCCAGGCACAAGGACGGGCAAGAAGGCGGCTACGGGACAGCTCCCGAGGATGGGCAGGACGGAGGCGGGACAGCCCCGGAGGACAGGCAGGACCCGGGGTTGGCCGGACAGCAAGGGCTGGTGTCGACGGGACAGGTGTCAGCGGGATAGTCAACGGTGTTGCCGGGACAGGTGTTCCCAGGACAGGTTTTCCTGACAAAACAAGGGCTGGTGTTGGCGGGACCCTCGGCGGAACAGGTGTCGGCGGGACCCCGAACAGGACAGGACATGGTGTTGGCAGGAACCCCGGCGGAACAGGTGTCGACTGGACCTCCAACAGGACTGGACACAGAGTTGGCAGGACCCCCAGCGGAACCCCCAACGAAATAGGACATGGAGTCGGCAGGACCCCCGACTAAACAGGTGTTGGCTGGACAATCAACGGAACAGGACATGGAGTTGGCAGGGCCCTCAACGAAACAGGTGTTGGAGTTGGCAGGACCCCCAGCAGAACCCCCAACGAAACAGGACATGAAGTTGGCAGGACCCCCAACGGAACAGGTGTAGGCTGGACCCCCAATGGATAAGGGACATGAGTCAGGACTTGAGTCGGCGGGACCCCTGACGGTGAAGGGACTTGAGTCGGCGGGTCCCCGAAGGAGAAGAGACTTGCGTCGGCGGGACCACCGACGGAGAGGGGACTTGAGAAGGGACTTGAGTAGGCGGGACCCCCGATGAAGAAGGGACACATGAGTCGGCGGGACCCCCCGATGGTGAAGGGACTTGAGTCGGCCGGACTGACAACGGGACACGGGGAGCTGGCGTCGGCCAGAACGCCGACAGGACACAGGGGGCTGGCATCGGCCGGAACGCCGACAGGACACGGGGGCTGGAGTGGGCCGAGGAGCTGGAACTGGAGCCAAAACTGGAACCGGAACTAGAGCCGAAACTGGAGCCATGGCTCCTGGGGCCAGGACTTGGGCTGGAACCATGGCTGCTGGGGCCAGGACTTGGGATGGAACCATGGTTGCTGGGGCAATTTTACTGCTGGGTCCATACGGGTCTGATCGTACTGTCAGGTTTGGGGAAAATAGGACCCAAGTTCAGTTAAAAAAAAACAAAAGGGTCAAGTAACAAAAGGCGAGCTTTATTAAAAAAGCTGATGAAAAACAAGAAACAACTAAACACTAACAAACTGGGGAGTACATGAAACAGGACAAACTTACAGAAGGGAACAGGCAGGTAACACGGACAAGGAAGACGAGCAGGTAACATAGGCAAGAAGAGGACGGAAACAGGCAAGTGGGCTACGAAAAACCGACCAGGTATCATGGACAAGAAGCGACGACGATCAGACATGGAGCACAGGGGAAGACAAGACTAAACACCCAGAACGGTAATCACAGGACAAGACACAGCTGGGGAGGTTAGGCAGAAACACAAGAGCAACAGGTGAAGACAATGAGGCACAATCAGACCCAGGATGGTAAACACAGGAAGGAAGACCAGACAAAGGGAGAACAGAATTTCAAAATAAAACCATGACTCTTTAGTCATGGTTTTATTTTGAAATTCTGTTCTCCCTTTGTCTGGTCTTCCTTCCTGTGTTTACCATCCTGGGTCTGATTGTGCCTCATTGTCTTCACCTGTTNTTTATTGAAAAAAGTAGTTGTTTAGATATACCTGGCACCTGCGGGCAAAAGAGGGGTGGCGTAGTTTCGGGCGACGAAGACTGCTGCTCCGGGGCCGGCGAGTCAGACGGGAGTAAGCTAGTGTCCACAACGGAGGGTAACGTGATGTCCGCATCTGACCTGTTGCTACTGTCTGCAGTAGATGCAGTGTTGCTGGCGTTTAGTGATGGTTGCTTTAACCATTTTCGTATAAATGATTATCCACAGATCAGATGTGTGTCACTGCTGTGGAAGCACTTTGGAAATGATGCACGCGCAGCGGAGCAGGTCACGCGCACCTGACACAATTTTTTGTTTGTATTTTTCGTTACGTTCTCTTTTTTGAATGGTTGCATAACGTTCAACTTCCCCGAAGATCTCGACGCGAAGCCTGAAGGGTAAACACCAGGTTTACTAATCTACCCGCACAATTTGTCCGGTGTCGGAATGTCTCGCTATGTTAATACATTCTTAAAAAACAAAACACCATTTAATTTCGGGTTAAAATCTGTTGTAACTGCGTTACTGAGCATTGTAACGGGTAATATATTACCCACATTTCATTAGTAATGCGTTACATTACTTCGTTACAGCAAAAAGTAATATATTACTGTAACTCCGTTACTTTTGTAACGCGTTACACCCAACACTGGTGTTAAATAAACTCACTAATTAATGAAACCAGTTCAATACGCATTATTCTTATTCGTATCATTCTTTATGAGCGCTGAAGTAGTCTTAAAATCAGATCTGTTTTTTAAATGAAATCTGACGGCAGGCAGTTAGCTCTGATCACCTATGATAAATGCGCCACACCTAATCTGGCCATTCGAGCCACAGAGCTCCCTCTATACAAATCAAACTGTAGACGGTGTGAAAGCACCTATTGTTTTAAATAATGGTCGGAATGTGACCTGTGAGCCTTCTGAATTACCGTGGGACAGCACATTCTAAACTAAAATGTTCAATCAATAAAGTAACATCTTATCTTATCTTATCTTAATAATATCTTCATATTAATAATAATAATAAATCATACAGTATGTGTCCGAAAGGGAGCAGGAGGAAGCAAACACAAAAATATACAAAAAATATACTGCATATTAAAGCAAACGATTGTAAAGGTAAAAGTATGAGCATAACAAACAAAGAAGTGTAATGTAAACATTTACATTATAATTATGATTATTTAATATATAAAGACTATATATTATTGAATTACAAGATTAGATATACTTTAGTTGATCTAAAATATTGATGTGTTCAAATGCTCTTCAAAACACAACTGAAAGTCCATGAAACTTGTCTTTCTGTATTTGTGAATGAAGCGCCATCTCCTGGTTAAAACCTGAAATTGAAAATCTGGCAACGCCCTCTTGGAAAATAGTGGGAGGGCTTAACATTCCTCTATACTGGTTTTAGGCAGGTCGTAGGCAGGAAGCTGTACGCTAGAGTCTGAAATTAGGTGCTACATCTGTATAGTTTACGTCATCTGCATAGACATTAGTCTCGCAAAACATATATTTTGTTCTCCAGTGCCTGGGACTTTAGATTTTCATTGCCCTTTCTACACTGTAGCTGCTGTGCATATGACAATAAAGCCTTGAATCTTGAAAGGAGTTTGTCTTTCTCCGTCACTCACCCTTCTTCCTGGCTTGCTAGAGGGATCTGGGAGAGCTTGGAGAGACTCTTGGCATACTCCTCTTCTATCTTTATCCTGAGAGGGAAGTCAAGAGTTTCAGTACCACACAGCCCTTACGCAATCTGATTAATTCATGTGCCTTCCTGTGTTAGCAACACAGTGGTGTACATGAGCACAAGAAAAGGGGAACTTGTTTGTTTTTAATGACAACTGCATGGTTTTCATGGTAACCTGAGCATGACATGTGGAAGAAAAGACTGATACCTTTCTCTTATAAACTCTGCCATCTCTTTCTGGATTTGTTTCCCCTTCAGCTGTTTTTGCAGCAAAACCTCAAATCCTGTGAGGCAGCTGGTGCCCTGGGGATCCTTCTTATCAGCCTACAAAGTAAACACATCAACCAGACAAGAAACACATTAAACAGGCAACAGCAGCAAAGACAAGAACAATACACCCAGAGCCAATGAACCTAAAGAAAAAAAAGTAATGTATTGATTAAGCTTGAACACATAAGTCAAGTCTGATTCTTTCTTGCATCACAGCAGCTCCATTTGCAACATCAACAAGGACAAATAGTGGGACCCAATATCTCAGACTTTGAAGGAAGGAGGATGAAAAGGATGAAATTCAAATAGAGATGTTCATTCGGTGATCAACTGGGCAAGAGGATCGTCTACACTGGTAGAATTTCCTTTTGAAAGGATTGGTTTTCTTTCTTTGGTTGCTAGTTATTTCTAATTCAGTAATGGTGTGTCATTTAAAAAATGTTTCGTCCTCTGCTTCCTTCTGTTTCTCACCAAGTTTGGTTCAAGTTTTTTCTCCAAAAAGGTGACCTTTTAAGATTAACACTCTTAGCTTAGACCACTTTGGTGTTAGGATATTGGACTTGAGTTTGCCCTTGAGAAAAACTACAGCCATGTTGTGTTCAGGAACAGAAGACATGTATAGTCTCTTAGTGCTGACGAGAACTTACCCAGAAGAAATCACAGTAGCTCCACTCGTTTGGTTTCAGCAGCTGCTGCTCCTGCATGCATGCAAGAGACGGGAACGTCACACAGTTAACCTGAGAGAGAGAGAGGGCGAGAGAGAGAGAGAGAGAGAGAGGGAAAGAGACAGATAAGGAAGATAGAGGGAGGGAGGGAGAGAGAGAGGGAGGGAGAGAGAGAGAGAGGGAAGGAGGGAGAGAGAGGGAGGGAGAGAGAGAGAGGGAGGGGTCAGTCAGCTATCAGAGCTGGACGGTCGGGGAACATCAACAGAATCTTATTCAGAATTCTTCAGGTTTATATTTACCAGTAAACAGAAAACACAAACAAATACATGTAAAGCAGAATCAAGCAGATGCCCACTGATAATTACCATTCCGGTTTAGCGTTTTTTAACCACCTTAACCATGCAGAAGCATTGTTAACTAGAAAATTCCGATGCTAACATTACCCCCGCTGAGTAAGTATTAATAGCATTAGTTGTATTGTTAAGGTACAACAAAGAATATCCATTAATTTTAGCTCACTTTTAGCTGACTATTTTAACTGTTTATCTATTACATCTTTGGATTCTTGTACCACATTCCTGCAAACCCGCCCGCCGCACACTGCAGTGGCGAATCTCCCTCTCTTCGAAAACTAGCCAAACTTTGTGGAAGCTCAGCAATTGATCCTCTCAGGGGACCGATTTTCTACGAAGTCGTTTGC